GACATTTGTAAGTTCACGACATTTAGCTGAACCGCCTCTCAGAAATGACCCCTGCAGGTGTGATATGTTGATGTTTGACAGGCATAGGATGTGGACATGAAAACTGGTGTTAGATGGACCTCTGGAGTTTGAGGACGAAAGTTGAGACCGATGGTGTTAGATGTCAGCCTCAATGATCGTGTTCGATCAGGGACAAGAAGACTATTAAGAAGGGGTCTTTGTTCTTGGCGTGCATATGGGTTTGATACATGATTGAGTGATTAATCTATGCATTCCGTGTCTACTGAGGAGCAGTAATACTGACTGTTTGATGAGAGTATGAGTGCGGACATGAAACAGCAGCATTTGACGATGTATGATGGCATGGGAGGTTTGAGTCCACTGTGGCACCTTGGGAGACCAGACTGGCGATTTTGGCAGCTTTAGCGACTTCTGAGACTTTAGACATTAAGCTTAGAGACTGCAGAGATGTTGGCCACAAGCATCTGCTTCGAATTACTGTTAAGGACCGTACTCAAGTAGTATCGGATCCGAAGGGCTTCGGCCTCAGCTCGTGCGCTGTGCCCCTTTCCCGAGTCTTGCCCCTTATTTCAGAGTGCTAGAGTATCGTGTCTAGTGAGACAGATAAGTATTGTAATGGATCTGTTAAGGCTTCTGGATATCGAACGTATAGAGTAACGGCTAATCCGGATCAGATCCGAACTAGAAACTAACGGGCGAGGACTGTCCAAAGACAGAGACGGATATATAGACTATAGGAATCAATCCTAAGTCTCGGAGTAGACAAGAGTATCGTACTCAAGTCCGGACGGATAACGGATGGACTTAGAGTCCAGACAGAATGAGTGCAGTCTAAGATGATATTCGAACTGATCTACTACAGCGCATGTACAAGGGTTTATATACTATGGATAACTAACGGAATGATCAATAAGCAAGGACGCGAGGCTATGTACGAAGTATAAGCAAAGTATGTGTACAGCATATTGGTAAGTTGGATGGATAACGAATCATAACTGGGAATGAAGTCTAAGCTAAAGCGGATCAGTAAGTGTAGCGGATCAGTAAGTGTAGCGGATCAGTAAGCATAACGGAAGTAGAGGATAACCAGTATACCGGTGTATAGGAATGCCGAAAGGAGATGAACGATAGTTAGAGTTATATGAACAGGACATGAAACAAGGATTAGATCGGATCTGTGGACTGGACGACAGATATGTCCATCGGATCTGGATCGGCTCTGAGATCCGGATCTTCAGATCTGTACCCGGGAATATGGTATATGACAATTACGAAGCAAAGGGTTGTGCCTGACAAACATCAAGTGTTTTGAATAGAAGAGCATGGATGGAAGAGCACTAGGCCGTGGGAAATTGGTATGATTGAAACATGTCGTTCTAGTCACTAATAGGCCCCATTTTTTCTCGCCAGTGTCAATTTGAACAAAGGTCACGCTGCCATCAGAGTTGTGGTGGGAATTTGTCCAATTTGCGGGCCTGTGGAGCAAAGACCACGAATGTACGATGAAGTTGTCTGGATGGACTTTGTCACCGATGGGGCCATTGACTGTGGTTTGATTCCATCCGTTGGTAATGCCACTGTCGAGAGTACTAGGCGTGGACGGGTTAGTATTGTAACGGCGTGCGATGGTACAGTACGCACCTCAGATATGACAGGAGACCGCCCTGTCCATATGGAACATCAAGTATACATTGTATCTTGTTGGGGTCGTGTATGTTGCGTATGAATTCTGCAAGCGTTGCGTTCTGGTGGGGATACGGAAAATCCTTCGTGCATTGTTCAGCGTCTGTTTAGCAGCATTACATTAGGTGAGAAACAAGATGGATGTCGACAGACTTACCACGTACTACAACACGCATGAGGTCTGACATTCCACAATCTTCCAGGTACTCTAAATCAAGTGTTGCAGGCTCGGGTGTGCTCACTTGCCGAATGACAATGGCTTTGTTGATGTGAAGCGCTGCAAATATCTCGTTGCATAACTGTCGGCTTGTAAAGCGCCAATCGCTATGCTGTAAGTGGATGACATTTCTTGAGGTCACAGGAAGCGATTCTGGGAGTGAAGCACAAAACGATACTGCAAGGGCGTCTTCTTTGCATATATTTATGCCGTTCTTCATGATGCATGGAAGCAGTGGTAGATCCATCGTCCCATTGAATGGTATCTGATTGTTCATGGACTTGAGAGCCAATGATAGGATTTGCCAGATCACAGAACTCTAGGTTGGTGAGTGCAGACAAGGTGGGTGAGGGGTATGCTTGGTCATCTGGAATGGAGGAACAATTGATGGGAGGGCTGGGCGTGTCTGTCATGACGGCAATGTCACGCATTGGGTGGGGTGTCACAATGGTTGTGAGGGTCTCCTGTGCCAGGAGGATGGGGCCGATGGGGATGGTGTCGGGTTCTGAGATGGATATGGGCCCACATGACCCTGAAGGCGCTTCAGGAGATGAGGTCCGAGGCTGCTTTTGAGGGGCATGGCCTTGGGAGTTTGTGTCAGGTGTGTGCTGTTTGCTCTGCATTTCCTCTCTCTTGCATTTTTGCCATGCCTGTTTGTTGGTGGTGTTCTGTTCCTTCATCTCTTGAGCCCTGTGTGGATCGCATTTCTCATTGGCGAGCCATCTTTTTTGCCATTCGCGTCGCTTTTCCTTGGGAGTTAAGGCTGAATTGGCGAGATTGGAGTGTTGAAGCCTTGGCTTCTTCTCAGTTTGCTCAAGCTGTACCATGTTGTTTCAACGAGGAATTTCCTCATTAAGATAATGTCAGACGTGTTTTTGGAACGAGTTGGGAGAGGGTAGTTAATGCGTCGAGTTTAGGATGAGATGAGAGTCTTAAGTGAATTCAATTGCAGTTTAACAGCGTCAGACTAGAATTTATGTAATATTTTTTCATAAGAACTCCTGCACCACTGTGGGCTTCAATCAGGAGTGGACGGCTGAGGATGTCAGAAGTGTTTTATGACAGGAATTCCACTCGTAGCTAGAAACTTGGTAAGCATAACGTAAATGTAGTAGGTCCTCAAAGTCCTCAAAGTCGTAGTTGAAATCTAAACCATGTTTTCAAAGTCTTGGAAGTCCTCAAAGTGGTATTCAAAATATATATTATGTCCTCAAAGTCTTGGAAGTCCCCAAATCGTAGTCGAAATATATATTATGTCCTCAAAGTCTTGGAAGTACCCAAATCGTAGTTGATGTCTAAATCATGTCCTCAAAGTTGTGCAGGTCCATCCCGCTTGTAGGTAGATACTTGGTATTATATTTGCGTATTTTATACCCCTGTGTCCCCCTGCACTGTGCGTTTTCACATATTGAGAGCTTTGTCTGGTATCTACACTTTCATTTTCAACACCTGGGTGAACCCAATGCTACTAGATATTTCACAATTATGTTTGAAATAAGACACCAGCATTTGCATCGATGAAAGACTTTGATAATGTGCAAGGTAATGCTGAGAAAGTCTACGGAATGTGGCAATGCCCATTGATACATATATTCATTAAGGCCAGTTCAGTGATAGAATTACTGTTGGTATACATATGGTGATTCAGCTAAGCAGTTGACGACATTATTTCTCAATGCGGACATGTATTTTCTTGGTCTGGCGCTTGTAGAACTTCAGGTCTGACCTCCACTGGAACATTTGTTCGCAGGAAAGCATCCAGTATCCTGTGTCCAAACCTGATGAATCCCCACAACTGAGGACTTGGCCACCATGCCATGTAGTAGTTTGATTGTGTCTGTTTGTGAATGAGATTTTAATGCAGATGCATCATGGGAGTAGGAGAAGGTGTACCTGTGTCAACGTAATATATCCCGCAGAGTATCTCAATCTCATGCTCAGTCAGGGTATCGAAGAGATAGGTGTGGGATCTGCCTTGAGATGTATCTGCAAAATAGAGGACGTCAGGTGAAGGTTCGTTGGGTATATCGCTGGCCAGCTCTTGTTTGCATAGACACCAGAGAATTCCTCCGGAGAGGATGACATCCTCTAAGGATGGCCCCCACTCTTCTCTGATGCATTGAACAATGGAAGTGGCATTTGCAACGAACAGGTTCCAAATTTGAGTGTATTTTGGAATGAGTGGGAGCAGCAGGTAGCCAGGTAGGGTGCTGTCCTTCACCTGCTCAACCTTGAAATACATGTTGCATGTAAGGAGTTCGTGAGCATGGTCAGGATGTAAATCCCATAAGAGCGAAGGTGGTTCAAGTTCGAGTATAAGGGAGGAGATGAAGTATCAGATGGCAAATTCGTTGCTGCGATGTTCCAAGTGGAGGTTGACTTCCATTATGTATTTGCAAATGGTGTAAGCATCAATGATTTGAGATTCCTCAACATGTATAAAGTCTATTGCAGACTGTATTTCGGACTGCGTGCTGCAGAGAAGTCCATAACGGCTGTATAGGACATCTTCCAGCGAGCTGCCAAACAACATATCCTGCCCAATAGGTGTTTGGTGCACCACTGTTCTTCCCAACTCATTGTGGTCCGATGAAAGGGTAGGAGGGTTGTTTACTTGTGGAGTTGGTGTGGTATCGAGCTCCTGGATGGGTTGGTGAAATGCAACATCATCATTTTCTACATCTCGATCCTTGTCGAATAGTGAACAGATATCCCATTGGTTTGAGATTTCGTCGTATATGAACTGCTCCCGTTGTCCGGTCTTGAATTCCTTCTTCGCATCTTCGTAGTCGAGCTCTCTGCAGAACCTCCCTTGTTTTGAACGATACCACATGAAGAATCTCATTCCATCCCGTCGGGTGGGTATAATGAAATTGACAGCATCTTGGAGCCTTTTCTTGACTCATTCCTTTATGCTGTCGGAGGCTTGTCATAAAAATTCCTCATGCTTGGGTTTTCGGGCTTTAATAAGTGCATCCCATTGGTGAAGACTGTCGGGGTGGGGGTTGGAAGGACTCGGCCTGAAGTCTTCTGCAATTGTTTTATTGATCATGGCATGGATGTGAAGCTCTTCTTCTCCTCAAGGAATGGCGAGTTTAAAGCTTGGATAATTTAAGGTATTTGCATCAAATATACCTCTCGCCATTCCTATCCTGACCCAGATGGGGGCACATATGCAGTTGAGATAAGGAAATAGGATGCCCAAAGCAGAGGATGTGGGGTCAAGCATAACGCCAACGCATCTCCCTAGCATCTCCAGTTTTAGTGCATCGATGATATCACATACGTGTGTATCACTGAGACCAGATTGGATGAGAGTGTGAGAGGGGGAGGGTGGGGGTCGAGGGTCAGCATGGCTGGCGGTTTTATGTCGTACTAGAGCGCGCCCATAAAACAGGTTTACCAGCCCTACAAGACTGTGGAAAGCTAATCTTGATCTCTGGGCGCATCTGAGAGCATGGGCCTTCTTGTGGTTGCGAAGGTAACCGTAGGAAGAGGGAAGGGGTAACATGGAGAAGTCCAAAGGGAGCAGAGAGTCGATGCTGAAGGTGGACGTGGCGTGATGTAGGGTGTTCTCAAGCCATCTCCAGCTGGCTTTTTGTCCACCGGAGAGGGAGTGGGTTGATCCAGAACTGACTATTTGAATGGTGGCAAGGCACTGGAAGAGTGGTCCTGTATACTTGAGTTCTGAGTTATCTGGTGTAGCTGCGACCTGTATATAGCGAGACTGGATGTTGGGGGAGAGCGCTGGAAGACTCTGCATTGTGTTGGGACATCACAATGTATTGAATTGCAACACAGGTGTTGAGTTGAGAAGTGTGCTAGTGCGACCATCTGGAATTTCCAAGTAGAAGCCAAAGACACAGGGTTGGAATAAAGGGAGTGCAAGACATTGGTCTGAAAAAACTGGCGTACAATGAGGCATATATCAACAATGAGGCCATCCACAAACCACAAACAACAGTCGGTGGTTAATGATGATGTTGCTTAAAGTTTGGGCTCTGTAGTCAGACTTTTACGACATCTACGAGACATCCATATTTGGCGACCATTGTAATTTTAATGACTTTGAGCACTTATTGCGAGTTAATTGACCATGTATTAGAGTTTGGGCATGTAGAGTTGGTTAAGGTCGCAAATTGTGAGGCACTATGCTATGTATTACAAGCAAGAAGGAATGAGTTCTTCTGGAAGGAAGAAGAATTGTCCATCTGGCGACATCTGATTATTACCACGGGAAGCTAAACAAGAGCTAGTACACAGTAATATATTCAATTGCCCCTATTTACAACAAAAGGCTTACTAGACAGTATCTGATAGTTGTCCCATGCAGTAATTCAATTAAAATAAGCATGGACAAATCACTAGAGTGCAAATTAAACATATGAACAGAAAACATAACCAGCAAGTAAATTGTCACAGAGCCATCAACATCTGCCTTCAATGGGAGAATCATGAACCCATGGATGTTTGGCCCGGATGCCAAACCACTGCTTTGTAATGTGCAACGAATGTATAGGCAATGTCTTTTCTGCAAATCTCACAATATTTGGGACTGTCTCTGTGCGCTGTAATGATGTCTATGGATGTAACTTTCTTGATTTGATCACCTTCTCAAGGCCTCTGCACATTACATCAAACCTTGGACTTGAAGCTGGCTTCTGGGTATACTGACTGTTCAAAACTGGACCAGATCTGATCAGTGGACCGGATCTGTGGACCGGATATCAGATCGGTGGATCGGATCTGGATCTGATCTGAGATCCGAATGCATGGATATGACACAGACGTCACACACTGGGGAAGTGGTGAAGCTGGGGCATTCAAAATGGTACATCAATATTTGCCAGCACATGGAAATGTTGAGATGTTATGGTATGCTATTTAATGATAATGATTTATATCTATATCCTGTAGCGTGTCAACATGGTCTGAGAGTACATTGTGCAAGAGTGTCTCCCTCATCTTGTCCTCCCTATGCTCTCGGCAACCGTGAAGCAGATCTTTAAGTTCTGATCTCCACTTCGAGACAACATGGTCAAGATTTCCACTATGCCATTGCTTTTTGCTCTTCAAATAAATCCACCATCTTCTGGACATTCTCTTCCAGTGCTATCCTGTTTAAAATGTACTTTGCAGCCAGCCTCTTTGTTACCGAAACTTTGTTGAGAATCTCCCGCTGTTCCTCCTTAAGCTTGGCAATGCGTGTTGTGAGATTCTTTCCTCAGATGTCCCCTGGAACCCTACTCTGTCAGTTGTGCAAGAAGCTGAAGAAGGAAGGGCTCACAGATGACGAAGTTGCACATCTCAAGGTTTGTTGTTACCAGTGGAAATGTTGAGATGTATCTTACCTCCTACAAACCTGATCAGGGGACGCTGAAACAGTGTTTTCAGTGTGGTATCTGTGGAATGAACATAAGCGACCCATGTGGAACGTGCAAGCGCAAAGGTTGGTGCAACATCTCTACATTGTGTATCACCAGCAGTGAACTTACTCCTGTGATGGTTAAACTTGCAGCACATGACGAAAATGGAATCTCTGACCGAGAGGCTATTTCTTCCCAGGCTCGTCGATGCAATGCAATTGAAGGACGCCTGCATCGACCACTCAGTCCATCAACACCCAAGTCAAAGCTGAGCAATTTGCAAGAGAACAATGGAAAACCGGGGTAGTGTTACCATCTATGTCGAGTGCTGCTTGAGTCACAAGCCTGGCTCTGTTGACCGTACTCTTGGCACATATTGTGCACCCTATGCTGAGACAATGACATTCATAGGTAAGAAACTATTTCTATGTTTTGATTTTTACATGGCGCACTTACTCTGTAACTCCCTCGGCAGCTCTTCAAGAAAACATTATAAAGCTTGTCAACTCAAAATGGACTTCAAAACATGTCTCTGACCTGCTCATGTAAGCCCGACATATATTCTGCTGCTACCTGACTCACTGCCCAGGCTGTAGGAGTGAGACTGAGCTGCCTTCCATATCCAAGTGCCTGCTGGAGCCCTGAAGGGAAATAAGTCAGGCCATGCAATTTCACTCGAGTTATTCATCGATACTGAGCAGGTAAATATCTCTTTTCCCCTGATTTCAAAAATTCAACTGTATCACCCAAAACAGTACGAAAAACACACTGGTGAAGACCACTCTGGAAGTACCGATGTTGGAAAATCAACTTTCAGCCGTCAGAAGTCAAAACGCACACGTGGAAATGGTACACTGCTAAGCGATTGAGAAGTACTATGTTTTGTAAACCAACTTTGACCTCACTCATTGTGTTCAATTGAATTGACAGCCGATGAGAATGCCATTTTGACATCATCATTCCAGCATGATGCTGTAACTGGACATCCTGCTTCAGTATCTGTTTCCGACAAAATAACATTCCAACGAACCATTTGTACGATTGATCAGGATGGTAATTACATGCTCACTGAGCAGGGCACTACAGAGCAAGGCTTTCTCGCACGCAACACGCTGTTTCTCTCTGCAGCTGACCGTGGCAAGACCAAAGATGTATCTTTGGTTAGCCATACTTTTTCTTCTTGAGATCATCCTCTGACGACCTTTCTAGTTGATCATCAAAAATCAGGAATATGTGGCAAAGAAACTCTTTGATGTGGGAAAAGGTCGCGGACAGCTCGCAATACAGGATGCCTGCCAATTTCTCACCGCTGATCTGATCTGGCCCAAAAGGTTAAGCTATTTCGAAGCCAAATTTACACAGTGAGTCATTCAGGAAGGCATCGACACTGCAGGTAAGTTTATTTGGACAATTTAGAAATTAACAATTGACCTAACAATCTTTAGTGTTTCAGGTATCTGATGGCTTTATTATCAAGACCTACTCCGATGCAGGCCAAGTTGTCAATGTCGAAGTGGAGCTTCAGACTCCAATTAGCGAAATATCATCCCTACACATCAGCCAACTTCAATTTATCTAGTTGAGCCTCGCCGGGTCTCTTCTGCTGTTCTCACATATTCTGAGACTCTTGGAGTGCGCAACTGCACTGATAAACAGTCCGCAACCATCATGGCTTTTAGCCATTTGTCTTGGAGAGTTCTGCATGTGAGTATATGTTTGCAGACCTGCAGGGTATGTATGACGCAGTTCTATTTCTCTTGCAACTCATTGTCTGTATCCTATCTAAGTTACATTGACCGTGGCATCTTGCATGATACTGATTCTGTTCTGACAATGTTCGATCCAATGACTCATACTCCCCTTGGGTATGTTCCATAATTATGATGTACTGTTGCCCTAACTCTAGTGCGTTGATACAGTGAATCTGGACTCAGAGATCATGGCTTCGAGGGTATGGCTGTAGATTACTGCTTGATACTATGTTGATAGATAGAAATGTTAGATGTCCATGTCTGAGTCATGTTTGAAGCGCCATGTTTTTAAGTCAATAAAATGAAATATACACAGACATTTTGGAAGGTTTAAACCCGGAGACAGGCTAAAACACTCCTGATTATTGTCTTCGACATTTGGCATTAATACTGACAATGTTGCAGTCATACACACAGCGGAGCAGTTGAGATGTAGCTCGAATAATAGTATAACAATGTACACAACCAACAATAGCGAGGTTCGAAGAAGGGCGCACACGTAAGTTGGATTCAGATTCATCCATGCACTTCCCACCATTCATAGACGGTGATGATTCATCTTTGATGAATGCTTCTGTCACAACCAATAGAGCAAGGAGTGCGACACCATTGCAGAGTGAGAGGATCTTGATCAAAGTCAATTCTTCTAGTGGACCCACAAAATACAGGGGTGTGATGTATTTGCATGGGACACAAGAGAAGACATTCCAGGAATCGCTTGGCTCTGTATTCACCATGGAGGGCGATCTTTTTTATGCATCAACCTTTCTATCCTCCCGCAGGAATAGAACAACATCTGGTCTTGCATGGCATCCTCACAGTGGCGGCTGCGGTACATTTTTGTTCAACCATGGACCCATTGTCGCACATTGCACCCAAGACAGCTAACAATGGATCGCTGATCTGTTCATCACAGTGACTGATGGACCCAACAATTAGCAATTTAGCTCAAGAAATCCATCTTTGTATTTTTTTCCTTCTACGCTAATCTTTCCCAACAAGCCTCATGCCGGTGTCAAATCAACTCAATTATTCCGTCTTGTTGAGACCACGGGAAAAGGCTCCTAATGCCGCCTGATCCCATGAAGCCAATGCTGCTCGAATAGCAGGCAAGGTTTTTGTAGGTACATCTTGTCCGCTTTCAGGCTCCATAATGCTCTCCAAATCATAGACAGGAAAAAGGACAGAAGGGACAGAATGTGGGGCTTTTTATGACTCTGCATTGCATGGTTGGGTGTTTGAATATGGAAAAACCAGATGATAGGCCAACCAGGAGACCAGGTAAAACCAATTCCAAAGCACATCAATCCAGGGGCACACCCTTCAAATTTCTGTCCTCTGGGCGGAATGGATATACTCAAACATTAGGAAGGGGGTGAGGAGGGTTCCCCAGACGTTCTTATTGGTGTAACCTTGGGAGGCGTCAAAACGGCTCCTGTTGTAGTTGTAATCAAACACCAATCTGAGCATCAAAAAAGTGATGCCTGACGAGAATTGAGCTGATTGAGACTTGATTGAGAAACAAACAGACAATCTGAGCACTACAGCACAATGTCAAAGAAAAATAAAGGTGTCCTAACCAGCTGTATGAAAATCTCTTTCCAAAGAGTCAAAGCTAGTTGGCAACAGCATTGTGCGATGAACAC